ATTGCATTGGAATACTGTCTCGACAATCTTTGATTGATTGTTCGAATCTTTCCATATCATGTAATGGTTTTTTAACCACCGCGTAGTTCGTGGAATGGTGGAGGGGCAAGGATCTCACGTACGACGGCGCGATYATTACTATTAAGCAYCATTTATCTACCTCACCTCCTCCACTCTCTACCCTCTCTCCACCACTCGACCGCTTTTTTSAGTCTCCTTCATCTTCTCCACCCTGTCTAAATCCTACTTTCCTCTGTTCACTCATCCATTATCCTCCTCCATTATCTTCCTCCATTATCGCCCACTACTACCATCCCCCTACCAAGATCCTGGTTCTTGTCGATATCAAATTCTTCGAYGAAGAACACATAGAGTAGTCTGGAGTGAGCCTGCCGAATCGYTGCGATTTCGCCATGGCGGATAATACTCCGTACAACTGCTGCCGGTACTGCAAGCAGTACGGGCATTTCATTCGTCAATGTCCGCTGCTGAATAGAGGTGACGGCATTATATCAGGGACCCGAATCGGTCCGCCCTCAGTCTTCATCCGGCCAATCGCACCGAGCGCGCGGGTAGTTGTCAACAATCCGCTATACGCACCGAGCGCACCACCTCTGCCGCAAGGATAGCATGCCAATCAGATCGCGCTGCCACCTGCCCTCGGTACAGGAAGAGGGTCATCACCTCCATCATCGACGGATTCGGCGCTTATACCATATMTGCCTCGACAGAACTTCAACAATGGCTGGGACAACCGAGGTGGAGGGCGACAGGGAGAGATGGTGGAGCTGCTTCGAGAGCTGGTGAACAACGATCGTGAGAAGAGGGAACGGGAAAAGGAGGTGGAATCCAAGAGAATCCGAGAAGAAGAGATCACCAAGGCAAAGGAAGAAGAACGAAAGAGACTGGAGGATGAAGAGAACCGCAAGGCTGCCAGAGAATCCAGATTGGCAAATTCATCGCTGAACAGATGGCCAAAAATGGTGGTAATCAGGGCGCTGACAAGAAGGAGCCAGAGAAGAAGACAGAAGAACCTCYAAAACAAGCCGCTACCGACAACAAGAAGAGACGACAAGAAGTYTTGCAAGGCAACTCTCCTGTACTACTAGATGCAGCCAGCCGCTTCCTTCAATGGACTAGACGCCGGGCTGCTGCTGATGAACCTAGACAGTGTTCAGCGCGCATAGAAGGCGCAACAGAAGGCTCAAGAGGAACAGCAAATGATGTTTCCAAGGATGCTTACTATCGTGGAACGACTGGACACTAAACAAGGACATTTGGCGGCCGTTTTGTCTAATCCCCCCCCCCCCCTCCCCCCCCCCCCCATCTAATACCCCCCATACCCCAAGAAGCTACTTTCTTCCCGATCCTAACACTCCATCTTCCTGCCGGGGAGGCAGGCGCTCTCCGAGGTCTCGATCCCCATCCCCTCCGCACGGTCCACGACCACCTCCAGCCGCTGTCAGGCGCCCCTTGGCTCCCCAAGCGAACCCATCTCCCGCTCCCCCTCCACCACCTCCTGTACCCGTTCCACCAGTCCCGCATGTGTCACAGTCCAATCGCCCTCCAACACGTTCAACCTCCAACCAACCAACTGCCCCCACTCCAGCTGGCACTACTTCAGAAGAGGGGTGTTACCTCTGAAGCTACTCTAGCTGTGGGAAAAGCATAAGGGAGATTAGCTGATGTCTTTGCTTCCAGTGCCGGGACTGCACGACGAATGACCGGGAGCTTCTCTACGGTACGCAGTCCAAACCTTGGATTCAACCGAGTGCGTGAAGGTAAGAAGGCATCCGTTGTTGGCTGCGAGAAAGGTGACAGGAAGCAATACCTCGAGGAGACGAAGAAGGAACTCATGAAGGAATATAAGGCCGACCTGGAGGTCCTATGTCGCAAGGATAACATTAAGTATATCAACAAACAGCAGGTTGTTGTCGAGCTTGTTGGGGCCCGTACGAAGGTGGCATATGATGACGAAGAGGACGACAAGGAGCTTTGCAACACGACAACGACGAAGAGTCAAGAAGAAGATCCTTCTTGATGTCCTCCAAGTACAACACGAGCAGATTATGGAAACGTACCAGAGAACTGTGTGTCCGAAATTGGATTTAACGCGGGTTTCGCGTTGAATTTTTCAACGCGCGTTGAATTCGCGTTAAACTCCCGTTCAAACGCGAGTTGAACGGGAATTAACGGGGTCCGGGATGATTTTTTTCGTGGGCTAAAAATTATTCAAAAAACAAACAAAAAATATCGGGTTGTAGGTTTTGTTGAGGACTACAACCCTGTATTTTTATTTTTATTTTTTTATGCTTAAATCTATTTTTAAAAAGTCAAAAACATAAACACACAATGAAAAAAACAAAAACGAAAATGAAATGAGTGTTTTTGTTTTGGGTTTCACACAGATTTTTTAAGGGCTAAA